TATATTAACCACGCAGTGGAATTTACTGAGGCTAAGTGAGCTTGATATTTCCAGCGATCTGGATATTGATATGTTTTGGGAAAAAATGTATTCTATTAAAAATGGAATGAATGAAAATAGCTCGCCAATTTTGTTTTTAATATAATTTCATAATCACATAGCTCTGCGTCTGCAGAACGCAAATTTTCAACGCTTTCTTTGATAAAAACTAAACTAGAAGTAAACTTAAGATTGACAGTATCAATAGCATAATGTTATGCAAGGAACTTGTAAACAAAAATTACCCGTACTATGTGTGGTCAGCTGCTAAAGATTTGCATGTATAATTAATTGATTTAAATTTACTTTTAAGAAATTAAACTTATTGGTACATAACATGTACATATGTATATAATTCATACAACCAAAACATGTTAAATGATTTCATCTCTGTACCTACGACTGTACCTGAATTTATTTATTTCTTGTTTGTTTTAAAATGGACAAAGTACATACTATATGCACATATGTATGTACATACATGTTTTGTATTCGAATTATTTAATCTTTAATAAATTAATTTTATGCTTTCAGAATCGTTTTTTGTAATTGAAATTTATTTGGTAGGTTGTAAACGATTTTGGTCGGATTTGGGATGAAAATTGGTTGGGGAAAAAAATTGTTAGTGGCAACGCTGGAAGAGTAGCACATTTCAGATGTTTGCGTGGAAGACTAACACATTTCAGATTTTTGCGTGGGAAAGTAGTACATTTCAGATTCTCGCATGGAAAAATAGCACATTTCATTATTTGCCTGGAAGACTAGCACATTTCAGATTTTCGCGTGGAAGACAAAGGTTGCGTGATTTTGAATTAGCCTAATCACAAATCCATAAATCAAATTTAATTCTGAATTGAAAAATGAATCAAACCCTATATAAACTGTTTTGTTGTGATTCGATTTGTCGACTAAATGAAAAATAATATTTAATTGTGATTTGATTCATCAACCAAATATAAATATAAAATAATTTTTTTTTGTGATTTGATTTGTCGACCACATAAGCAATCAAATTTATTTTTGATTTTATTGATTTGCAGAGCGAATCAATTTTTTCGGCATTTTTCAACTTAATACTATTTTATGCAACACAAATACGATTTTCAATATTTTCCAACTTCCAGTTCTACGAAAAATTGCTGCATTTTCGAGATTTTGGGACTCTGAAGACTATATCGTTATCCTCTAAACTACTTCAGGACTTTCTGGACTACCTCCGGATTTTCGGAACTATTTCAGAACTTTCGTTATATTTATCGACCTACATATCGATAAATTTATCGATTTTGAAATCGTTATATGTTACGGTATTAATCGATAGTCCCTAGAATCCTAAATGTCTCGAAATTCCGGAAATAGTCCCAAAAGTCCCGATATAGTCTCGAGAATCCCAAAAATCCCTTAGTAGTATCAAAAATCCCGAAATAGTCCCAAAAATTACGAAGTAGATCTGTAGATCCCCAGCCCCAAGAATCCCGAAAATCTCGAAGCAGTTTCGAAAAACCCGAAATAGTCCCGAAAATCCCGAAATATAATGATTAATTTCCAACTTGGTAAGCACTACTTTGCGTATAACTGGAAGTTGGTTAATGCTTGAAAATTGTATTTGCGCTGCACAAAAAAGTATTATGTATTTAGTGGAAAAATCAGGAATCAAATTGATTTACTCTAAAATCAAATTACAAATACATTTGATTTCGTATTTGGTCGACGAATTTGGTTGACAAATCAAATCACGAATAAATTGTATGACAATCTGAAATGTGCTACTCTTCCACGCAAATAATGGAATGTGCTCGTCTACCTCGGAAAAATCTGAAATGTGCAACCCTTCCATGCGGGAATTTGAAATGTGATAATTTCCACGCAAAAATCTGAAATGTGCTACTCTTCCACGCAAATTAGAGGTGGCAGATATTTGCGTACCTGTGACTTTGTCCTGGTTACTGAAAAGTCACGGGTAACTGCTGTGACAACTTCCAAAAAGTCACCGTGACAGACTGTGACAAAGGAACGGTCGCAGTGATGTTTTTGTAGTAGTATTGCGCCTTCCAAAATATCAGTAACAGTCCCAGTTACTGCTGCGAACTGTGAATTTGATAAAGTAGTAGTCGCAATTGCATATCGAGAAACTGCGACCAGTTATTTAAGATTGAAATCTGATTACTGTTGTTTAATATTAGAATTTCACACCATTAAACACGAGTGTGAATGACCAAAACAAACGACGAAAATATCCAGTAATGCCAAATAAATAAATAATGCCCTTAGTTCACTCGGTAAGGGATTATTATTTGCAACGTTTTTGTCACAGTCGCGGATGAAATCATTGTGTGTGTGTAATGAATTGTGCTACACGGTTAAAAATGTCGGTTTCAATTTTAAACTTTTTGGACTACATATATGACCAAACTAAATTTAGTTTCAAATACAAACCTTCCAAGTTTAAAAGAAGAGAGCTCATATGTTGGGTTTAGAATTTAAACAGTTCGGTTTAAATTTTAAACCCAAACATTTTCTATTTCATTTGCTTCACGTAACACTTCACGAAAGCTTTTTCATAATTAAGAATAAAAAAAATCTTAAATTTCATGCTCCTTCTGAAGGGTATTGAACCCGGACAGCCTTGGTAGCAACCAATTTTATCAAGCATCTTTGCACACTCCGCTACACCCATGCATGCAAATGCTTTCATATGTTGAGTTTGAATCAACGCCACATTTGGCTGTGTTGATGCCGTCAGTTCATAAGATTTGCTCTCTCTCTCTCTGAGAGACATATAAAATAAGGCATATCAAGGCAAACATTTTCTATTTCGGTTTAGATTTTAAATCAAATTTTCTATATATGAAACCTAGAACCTAGAATTAAAACATTTTGGTTTTAATTTTAACTCTCCGTCAGACACATGTTTCGATTGGCACATTCGGTACGCATGAGTCTGGCTGGACCCACATGCAAATTGTATGAATTTATATAGAAATTATGTGCAACATTTGTTCAATTAAACTTATTTATTGTATGTTATTCAAATATTTACTTAATTTAAGGGCTTTCTTTTTTATTTTATTATTTAAATACACTGGCGATCAAAACCGGGTGCATGTTCGACATTTTATNAAATATTCCGACGAACTGATAACCTCCTCCTTTTTTGGAAGTCGGTTAAAAATGCAAATCATCTCTTGCCATGCTAATTCAAAAATTCAAAATAAAACTTTGAAAAACGGTTGCATTCCTTCATTTTAGGTAAAAATTACATAGGAATATATGTGGGTCCAGCCAGACCTATGTGTTACGAATGTGATGTATTAATCAACATCTCTATATATCTAGCTTTATATATATGATACTAACACGATTTTTTACAGATTGGTAATTCACTAAACTTTAGTAAGCTACCTGAAATTTCAAGCCTCTAGCTATATTTAAAGTACCCTTTTTTGTAATTTGAAAATGGAAAAGGCCTGGCTGGACTCATGTGTCAGACGAAGGGTTAAACCATTCATAGCAACACATAATTTTCTCGGCTGCCTGGACTAAAATTTAAACCAGAATACATTAAAAATTGCTTAAAACTACTGACTGGAACTAAATATTGACTAGAACACTAACGTTCTCCTGTGAGGCGGAACGAATTCGGTTTTCTCGCGATATTTCAGGAACGCTTTTTATGATCAAAGTAAGCGTTCACGCCAACTCAGTTTAGCGTTGTACGAGGTTGTTAGCAGACGCTTGCGCGGCTGAGTTCCACATCCTCTTGACGCCTGACAGGCGAACGTTAGTAGTAAAGGTAATTTGGTTTGCTGTACTTATTTCAGTTGTNAGCGTTCACGCCAACTCAGTTTAGCGTTGTACGAGGTTGTTAGCAGACGCTTGCGCGGCTGAGTTCCACATCCTCTTGACGCCTGACAGGCGAACGTTAGTAGTAAAGGTAATTTGGTTTGCTGTACTTATTTCAGTTGTTAACATGTTTGTTGGCTATTTTCTGTTTTGAACTAAATATTTTTTTTTTTACTTTTCGAGAGGGGTACCTATGAAGAACAAGTTCTAAAATGGTTGGTAGAAATATTGTTGAATGGAAGCGATAGTGAGGACAATTTGGAAGAAGATTTCAGTGAATGGGCCTTATGAATAAAAAAACTAAGCAGTTGCCTTTTCTCGAGATTTTAAAACTTATGCTTGATTTATTCAAATAAATTTACGTAAAAGGTCTGAAATTTTAAGAAAAATCAATTGCTTAGTTTTCATAAGGCTCAATGTGATACAAAAAAGTCAATTTCATTTGTAGGTACAAGTCACAATAGAAAGGATAAACAATGAATTCCTTTTGAAAGGAATTGTGTGAAAGTAAATACGAATACCTTTAAGATAATTTATGGAATTTTTGAGTTCGTTCGTTTTAAAATATTTTTTTTTTAAATTAATAATAATAATAATAATAGATTGGCGCTTACACATATGTTAGTGTTTGGCCGAGCTTCTCCTCCGATTTGTGGCGTGCGCCTTGATGTTGTCACACAAAGCGGAGGGACCTACAGTTTTACGCCGACTCCGAACGGCGATTGTATTTTTATGAGAAGCTGTTTTTCATGGCAGAAATACACTCGGAGGTTTGCCATTGCCTGCCGAGGGACGACCGCTGTTAAGAAAAAACCTTTTTTCTATATTTTTGCGATGTTGCTTTGACCAGGGTTTGAACCCAGGCATTGTGGAGTGGAAGCGCGCACTGCTTACCACTACACTACACCCTTCTCAAAAAGATGATAAAATATGTGGTAAATTTCAATACGAATTATTTTTATTAATATTAAATTAATTTTTTTTTTACCTTAGAAACATATGAAATATGTTTAAGTCCATTTTTTAAATAAATTTAAGCTTTTAAAAAGACAAAATTTTTACTTTTTTTCAAAGTAGCCTCACAGGCGAACATTAGTATTAAAGGAATAAAAAATAAGGTTAGTATTCTAGGGTTAAAGAGTAGAGTATAAAAGACTAAAAAAATCAGTAGTCCCAGCGCGGTTTAAAAATTAAACCCAAATTTTTGACCGTGTAGTCTTCCACGCGAGAATCTGAAATGTGCTACTTTTCGACGCGAATGATGAAATGTGCTAATCACCGGCGCGAATAGTGTAACGTGCTAACTAGTCTTCCACGGCAATTTCAAATGTGGTATTCTTCGTGGGGAGCAGGGCCCGAGTCGGTCGAGAAATCCGAGTTTGATTAAGAATTTCAATTGCACTATTGGTATTGTGATTCTACTTCCAGAACAATTTCGTGCTAATTGAAATTTTTTTCTGGTATGAAGTTGGCCATTTCTAATAGATTTTGTCGCTGAACTCATGTCTGAAAAATATGCACAGCATTTTAAAATACATCTCTTGTTCTTTCACAAGCCGCACTGTGTGCTTTTTGAACACTGCATGCGAATTAATCGTAGCGCCTTCGACAGAAGCAGCAATTTGATACAAAATAAAATGGTTTTGAAATCTAAAGTAAATCCCTTTCAATTGTGGCCATTCAGCCACAATTACCACCTGACTTTAAAAAAATTGGTCAAAAGTAGTGTTCTTCGAAAAAAAAACATGCAAAATCCACGGGATTTATTCCAAAACAAAATATTTATGTATTTTTTTATTATACTAGTAATCTAGATTTTGAGACGAGCAACACGATTCCACTGTTCGCAATGAGAAAAAAAAAATTTGAACACCTTAATTTAAAAAAATCAGTTTTAAAATTTAAAAAAGACTTCTACCTTGGCTTAAATTAAAGGTCTTAAATAGTACCAAAACTGACTTGTTGTTCGAGGGATATAAAATTGTTTGAAGGATGCACAGCTGCATGCAAATCATAAAAAATGCAATATATAATGGGTTTTTCAAATTGAGGGGTTGAAACTTTTTTTCTTCTCTTAAACAGTGGAACCGTGTATATCTTCTCAAAATCTATAGTAGTATAATAAAAAATACAAAAAAATTTTGTTTTTATATATCCGTTGGCTTTGGCGTGTTTTTTGCGAAGAACACTATTTTTGACCAATTTTTTTTAAGGTCAAGAAGCGATTGTGGCTCAATGGCAATATTTTTCCTTGAAACCCAATTACATTAGCTTTCAAAGCCATTTTGTTTCATATCAAAATATTGCTTCCGTCGAATGTGCTACGATCAATTGGCATGAAGTGTGCCGTCGAATTAGCTCGAATATCTTATTTTTCAGTCGAGAAATGTAATTTTGAAATTTTAAAATTACTACGGTGTATTTTTCTTAAAACATATGACTCAAAACATATGATTTATAAAAATATAAATCATTTATAAACAATTTATGAGGACGTGAGAGCAGAAGTGGCCTAAGCCAAATTTTTTTGTTTTGTACTTTACTACATAAAATAATTTCAAATATGGTAAGTTTTATAGTAAAAGTCGCTGATTTCTTAATTTTAAGGTACAAAGCTACATAGCGTTACATAAAATATTTTTGCATTTATTTTAATTTCTCTACCAATAATGCCAAAGTGGCCTAAGCAGATTAGGCCATTTTGCATTCTGGCAACGTTTGAGCCATTGGCCTAACCCAAAGTTTTTTTTATGTACTTACCCACTTAAAATAGTTTCAAATGTGATAAATCTTAAAATAAAAGTCACTTTTTCTTTGCACAAATCTTACAGCCGCAAATTTTTACCACAAGATTTACATTTGAGTATCTTATTTTCGCTTTATAAAGAAAAAGTTCCAATTTCTACTTCCAATTTTGTGTTTAACAAAGTGTTTAATGAAGAGCTAGACTTGAGTTTTCAGGCACCAATAACAGATTCATGTAAACGGTGGGATTTATTATCTATCAAATTGAAAGCTTGTCGCATTTCTGCAGACAAACTGAGACTTTAGAAAGAGAAACTATAGACAGATTGATAGCAACAACAAAATGCAGACAAAAATCATCTGAAACGAACACCGAACCCGCAAACAGAAATGAAAGCAAAATATTTAAAGGAGCCACATATGTGAAATTATTAACGGATACAAAAACACTACATAAAAATATCCAAAATAACAATGTAACATTCACGCATAAGCCGCATAGCACTCTCAACAAAATATTTAGCAAAACAAAAGACGAAATCAGCAAAGAACAACAACATGATGTAGTTTACCAAATCAATTGTAATGGCAAAGCGGGCGAGCCTTGTAATAAATTATACATAGGCACAGGCATAGGCGAACATAAAGCAGACGTAAGAAACAAATAAATAATATAAAAAAAAAAACTTTTAATATACAACGATTTTATAAATGGACTAAAAATTAGAAAATAATAATTCTCAGTCCCATAGAATTTGTTTTGGTATCTTTTGATTCTGAAATTTTAGCAAGTCATTATAAACAATTTATGAGATTGAAAATGAAAAGCGTGGGGATATTTAAATAGAAACGCGTTTAAAGAAAACAATGTCGAGCTTTACTCCTGCATTACTTGTCCACTTGTTTCAAGTAAGCTTTTTGTAGCTAACCTCAAGTTATATATTTTATAGAAATCCCGCAAAAAGNCGGTGAATGGCGATCGCTATCGTTCGATGCTAACAAACTTTTTGTTGCCAAAAATGGAAGAACTGAACTTGGTTGACATGTGGTTTCAACAAGATGGCGCTACATGCCACACAGCTCGCGATTCTATGGCCATTTTGAGGGAAAACTTCGGAGAACAATTCATCTCAAGAAATGGACCGGTAAGTTGGCCACCAAGATCATGCGATTTGACGCCTTTAGACTATTTTTTGTGGGGCTACGTCAAGTCTAAAGTCTACAGAAATAAGCCAGCAACTATTCCAGCTTTGGAAGACAACATTTCCGAAGAAATTCGGGCTATTCCGGCCGAAATGCTCGAAAAAGTTGCCCAAAATTGGACTTTCCGAATGGACCACCTAAGACGCAGCCGCGGTCAACATTTAAATGAAATTATCTTCAAAAAGTAAATGTCATGGACCAATCTAACGTTTCAAATAAAGAACCGATGAGATTTTGCAAATTTTATGCGTTTTTTTTAAAAAAAAAGTTATCAAGCTCTTAAAAAATCACCCGTTACAAGTAGGTTATTTTTTATCAACTGATAAAACGCAACGATATTAATAGATTGGTGCACACACATGCATATACATATGCATGTACATACATACGAGCACCAATTAATTTCATTTAAAGAAATGGCGTTTCGTCCATTTCCGCTGTAGCGTACGTAGTGCATAGGGCGACATCTACCTCTCGAACCAATCTGATGCCTAGACTTTTTTAGAAACTTTGCAAAGCAAAGGTTTTATAGCTGTCTGGACACACAACATTGCAAGTTGATAAAAGCGTTGTACAGAATTTGAGATCGATTTTAAGCGCTCGCTATTCATATACCCACATACATATGTTTGTACATACATATATTAATTTTCATATCAATTCAAGTCTATTACATGCTCCCATATATGTAATACTTCTACATTTGCAGTAAGCTAACTTCCCAATGTGTAAGCATTCCGAAATCAAAGCGAGACAGTCTAGTCTGGGTAGTGAGGGGTTGAAATTCGATTTTTTCCGAATTTCGAACATTGGGAGACCATTGGATTATTCGATCAGAAATATGGTGGTGCAAATCCGACATAATTCGAATCTTTTCGAATGTTCAAACAAATTTATTTCTAAAAATTTAAAAGTTTGTTTGTAAGAATGATAACTCAAATTTAAAAAAAAATTCAGTTGAACTTATATTAATGTGATTAACTATCCATATCGCTCTTCTTAGCTTCACAACGAAAAATAAATAACAGGGACGGTAACACCGGCACACAAAAAAAAATTAGTGTGATGTGCATTTGACCGGACCTACCTATGGTTATGTATTTCGACCCGCAGAATCCGAATTTGAAGTCAGTGTGGCAATATACCTCCTAGATTTCGAGAAAACTTAAAAAAAAAACGTAAAAAATAGCGAAAATCGGCAATAAAAACGGGTTTTATTTTTTCGCTCAACGGAAATAATTATTATTTGATTTTTATTTTTTCTATCACAAATAATATTTATTTTATGATTTTTATTTTTTCCCTCAGAAATAAAAATTATTATTGAGTTTTATTACTCCACTTAAAAATAATGATTATTTATAAAATTGAAAAAGCCATACTAAAGCAATCTACTGAAAATTTTGGGACTTAATGCTTTTATTAGGGTGTCGCTACCTCTGAAAAAATACGTCAGAAATCACGCAGGTATAGCTTTGAGTATTTTGAATGATCATTATTCTTAAGTGAAAAAATAAAACTCAATAATAATTATTATCTTTGAGCGAAAATATCATCAAATAATCATTATTTTTGATGGAAAAAATAAAAATCAAGTAATAATAATTTGCTTTGAGCGAAAAAATATAACTCAAATACTAATTATTATTTTTAGCCTTTATTGATTAATCTCGAAAAATAAAAATCATTGTAACTTACAGTAGAACGTACGAACGAAATACATGAGAATAGTTAAAATTGTTCTACAACGATTACAACTTGTTGATTTTTTTTCCAAAAATTTTAAAAATAATGATTATTTTCCGTCCCTGATAAATACAAATAAGTATTTTTTTTAAATAAATATCTCAAAAATTTATCAGAAAAAAATCTTACAATTTAGCAAATGTAGCATATTGAAACTATTTCTTTGGGACGTATAACGTGATTTTATTTATTTCTCTTGCTTTACAAAAACAGAGAAATTTGTACATACTTCAAGTTACATACTTGTGCAATCATACGTATGTTTATAAATACTTATACAACGAATAAAAAAGTCTCACACTTAACGGCAACGAGATCTTTAAGTAAACAAGGAACAAAATAGATAACACTGTGATAGATTTTTTTTTTCAAACATCTCCAAAGACATGGCTGGAGAAGACGGTTTCACCCTATTTCGGGTATAGGGAATCGAACTGCATCATTCGTGTTTTAAGTTTTCTACACGCCTTCATACAACATTTTATTTTGAAAATTTTGCTCCAATGGACATTTTTCAGGTGTTATACCCTATTATATGGTTCTAACTTTTATCTGGTTGGCTTTTTCGGCAAAATTTCTTTGACAAAGTTGTTTAGAACATCCTTTCGTCTTTTTTAAGTGGAAGATCCGAAAGTCCGATTTTTAGTTTGCCCATAGCTAAACGACTGGTATTTTTTTCTTACATATGCCAAAAATTTAACTTCACATTTGACATCAGTGATGAAAAACGGAGTGTCAATCACACGATACCAAAATTTTACGACAGTCTTTGACATGTACTGCGTTATCAAAATTTCGTCAGTTTTTATGATGTATTTGACATCAAGTGAACAGCTGTTAGTTAAGGAAGTTTTTGATGACAGTACTTTTGACATAATGAAAACCAAGCATTAGATAAAGTTTTAAGATCATAAAGCATCTGAAATCTTATTTATTTTTTTGCGAATTTATTTGTATAGCTGGGTTGTGTAACTATTTAAATCAATAAATACATTTCATTGTGAGTTAATACTTAAACATTTATGGTGACGTACAGTAATGTCAATGGAATTAATGTCACTGACATTAATATACAATTGAGAAGGGAATTAATGTCAATTACATTAATACAGACCATATTTTTACATAAAAACACTTTCATTTTGTGAATTTGAGTCTAAATAACAAAATTTATTTTTATAACATTACATATTTCACTTTTCGAGGATGAATCAATTCCTAAGTGATTTAATGTCAATTGACATTATTTCACTT